GTTCAAATCAATCCACTGGACTTTGTTTCCAAGTTTGAAGACGTTTCTCTTCCCATCCAGGAAGCTTTTTCAATTCAAAATGACAGAAATAGCGTTTAGTTCCAGGTTTTATACTTTTATAAATAACCCAGTCCTTCTTTTCACTGCAGACAAGCCATGATCTGCTTATCTGTTCTCCATTTTTCATTTGGATGAAATAATAGCTGCATGAATCATGACAGCAGACAAGATAGAGGAGAGCAGGAGGCGGGGTTACCAATCTACTCGCTCTGGAGAGCAGAGTTCGCTGCTTTTAGATGTTGTCTCCAAAGTCTCCAGTAGCAGAAAAAAGTCTCTAGATTTGGCGCTAGGAGCTTTTTAGAAATCAAAGTGCTAGAGGGGTCTGAAAAGTGGCTAAATATAGCGACTAAAGCGCTAAGTTGGCAACACTGCTCTTTAGATGGTTTGTTTTCAAATGGTTTGCTGCTGTCTGTTTGGACCTTTCTGAACATGTGCAGCAAATGGACTGATCCAATATGGTGGACACTGAAGGGGGGGCTGAGACACACTTAATATTATCAGCGTTCTGATGGCATTTTAGCCAAAGGATTTTTATCAAAAACATAATTAATGTGCTCAATGGCGTAACAGCACATCAATAGGCCAACAATATCTGGGTGGGCCCCATATGAAGTACAACACGCCCCTATAATTACCCATAATTCCAAGTCATAGTGTAAAACATAAAATACTCCAATACATCCTTCTTTTAGGATCTTTATTGAGGTTTGAAACATATTATATGGGTGTATTTTTTACTAACCGTCTAATGAACTATACACAGTTATTAACATAGTAATTAAAGTCCTGCTGTCTGCTTTGCTGTTGGTGTCGTACATTTGCAAGGAGACGTCCTAGTAGGTGTCAGTGACGGGGCCCCTAAGAGGTCGGGGGCCCCTAAGCAACTGCAGTCTCTGCTTACAGACAGTTAGGCCATTGAATGTGCACAAATAAGGAATAGTTGGATTAATCCTACATGTAAACTTTTATGGGGCCCCCAGGAACTTGGGCCCCTAGGCAACTGCCTGGTATTGCCTAATGGTAAATCCCCTCCTGGTTTCAGGAAGTGATGACATCAGTTCCTGTTCTGCTGGAAGAAGATCCGCTCTGATTGAGAGGCAGGAGCTGAAGGAGACCTTAGAGCGGGGCGGATCTGAAACCCTTCCTGTCCCGTTGAACCAAAAAGAAAAGATCTGGACCAGAGTTTAGGTTCAAACCATCAGAATCTTCAGCTTTAAAGTTTCTGATCCACATTTAAAAAAATCTGTTCAATCTGTAGATTCTTTCCTCTGGTTTGAGAAAACTTAAGTTTCATTCAGCTTTCTTTCTGAGAAAAGCAGAAGCTGGTGTTTCTTCCTGCTCGCTGCAGCAGAGTTTAAACCAGACCTCATTTCTAGCTCCAGGCAGTCTGGGGGCTGCAGACAATAACTCCATCATCATTGAAGGCTTGTTAGTCCAACCTCTGCCTGACAAGATGTTACTTGAAGACGTCGTGTCTTCCTGAGGTTGAAAGGGACGCTCCTGAAGACACATAAAGACACGTCCATCACAGCGAAGCGCTTTGGGTGTCAGATCCAGGACCAGGACTGAAACAGGTCGGCACTCGGAGAAGGCCGCCCGCAGAGGATCATACTTCATGGAGGAGAGGGTGACATGCTTTCAGGCGGGTAATTGCTGTTTGTCTGCGTGTTCTGGTTGTGATTACATGCTCTGTTGTTGCTGCACTAAAACTCTGCTGTGAGAAAAAGTGATTTGGACAAGAAGCGGCTTGTTGGGCGGATGAGTAATACCCTGAGTAAGAGCATACCACGGTCCTGCTGCATGAGTCCCCCTGCAGCTGGAAACCCGTCTGATACAGAGGCGGACCCGGTCCGATCGGCGTCACAGGTCAGCCCATCCGGAACCGCTCAGAACGAGCATGGATCCGGCTTCTAAACCCAATCCAGACCTGTGAGCCAGGACGTGATGCTGAGATGAACCGGACCATAAGAAGAAGAAGAGGTTCTGCTGTGGTTCTGTTCAATGAAACTGGTTCTCCTTTAATAAACGACAGAACCAGTAAACTGTCCCACAATCTGGACGTCCTTAACTTCCTTTTTTTTTTTTTATAATAAGGTTTTAGTTTAAGTTTAGTTTATATCCATGAATTAGAACCTGGAGAAGTTCGAACCCGAGTTAACCAGCAAACCAGGACCAGTAAGCAACAAACCTGAAGCCCAAACCTATGAGGTAATTCCTTATCTGGAGAATAAAGTTTTTCTGTCTGGGAGGCTTAAGATGTGGAAAGTCATGCTGATGAAGAGAAACGATCCCCACCGGGAGTGGATTTACCATTAGGCAATACTAGGCAGCTGCCTGGGGCCCCAAGTTCCTGGGGGCCCCATAAAACTCTGTTTCCATGTATGGTTAACACAACTATTCCTTATTTCTGCACATTAATTATGTTTTTGATAAAAATCCTTTGGCTAAAACGCCATCAGAACGCTGATAATATTCAGTGTGTCTCAGCCCCCCCCTTCAGTGTCCACCATATTGGATCAGTCCATTTGCTGCACATGTTCAGAAAGGTCCAAACAGACAGCAGCAAACCATTTGAAAACAAACAATGCAAAGAGCAGTGTTGCCAACTTAGCGCTTTAGTCGCTATATTTAGCCACTTTTCAGACCCCTCTAGCACTTTGATTTCTAAAAAGCTCCTAGCGCCAAATCTAGAGACTTTTTTCTGCTACTGGAGACTTTGGAGACAACATCTAAAAGCAGCGAACTCTGCTCTCCAGAGCGAGTAGATTGGTAACCCCGCCTCCTGCTCTCCTCTATCTTGTCTGCTGTCATGATTCATGCAGCTATTATTTCATCCAAATGAAAAATGGAGAACAGATAAGCAGATCATGGCTTGTAGAGAGGGACAAAACCTAGAACAGATGATGGATGTCTATTCTATTAACATTTCTCTATCTGGAGAATAAGGCTGTTTATATGATGTCTTCTCCATTCAGAGGGGCCCCTGCCTGTCTTTGCCTAGGGCCCCAGACTTCCTGAATCTGTCCCTGTCCCCTCCATCCCACATCCATCAGGACTGCAGGAATCCAGCAGACAAGAGGATAATGAAGTTAGATGAGCTGGGATTAAAGTTGGGCTAATTTTCCTCGTTCTGCTTCGGTTTGGTCCTGATTGCGTGAAGTCTGCGTGGAGACGATGCGATAAAGCATGACGCAGTCTTTGATTGATGGCTCTACAGTTTTGTGTTTTCAGCAGCACATTCCTGCCTGTAACGCGTTCAGATTCAGCCATCAGCGGCGACGGCGGCGAGACCCCGGAGACGAAGAGACTGCTTAAAGATAACAACACGTCGCCTCCCTCTCCACGCTGAACGCTCCCCTTCCTCCCGCTCACCGAACCAAAACAATGAAGCAAAGAAAACAGCGAGCCAGACGCTTCATCTGTAAACTGTATTTAATCAACACATTCCTGCTGTGAGGCCTCTGCAGGCCCGCCGCCTGCGGAGCAGGACCACATCTGTTTGTGTACAGGGGCGGCGTAGACCGCAGCTCCACCACACAGAACCCTGCAGCATATTTTAACCTCTCAGCGCTGCGCTCTGCTCCTCCACCGCTTCCCAAAATGTCCACGTCTGGAGCAGGGAACGACCAGGGATCTGCCTTTCTCATCCAGTCTGTAGTCACTGGGCTCCTGGGAATGGAAGGCAGGATCACAGCTGCTAATTACTCGCTCAAAGTCGCTGGAATGGCGGCCGGTTCTTAACCTGAGAGGCCTGAAAGTCCAACTCTGCTTCTACAGTCTGCAAACATCGTCTGGATGATGTGTCCGATACATGGTGACCAAATGAACGTCCGTTTGATCCTGATCTACTACCAGCAGCGGTCCATCAGAGCCACACCGCACTGATCACTTGCTTCCTGGCCGGTCTGCTGATGGATACCTCATCCTGCACATCACCTGATCTGATGAGGAATTTAAACCACTGCAGGAAGCTCACTGAGCTCAACCATGGTTCCAAAGGTCGTAGTCGTTCCAAAAAAGTTAAAAAACAATCCACTGGACTTTGTTTCCAAGTCTGAAGACGTTTCTCTTCCCATCCAGGAAGATTTTTCAATTCAAAATGTCAGAAATAGCGTTGAGTTCCAGGTTTTAGGTCATTTAGATCATAAGGATAATCTTTGGAGGACCAGGATGTTCACATTCTGGACAAAGAAGACAGGTGGTTAGAGAGTGGCGTGAAGGAAGCATCTATATTAAGAAAGAAAAACCAACAATTCCCTCTAACGACCCCCCTTTCAGAGACATAGACAGGTATGGGGCATTGCAGGCTAACAAAGAAGCCAAACGACCCCCATTCCAAAGGGGGGGACCCGTTCATCCGTTTCTATTTGCATGTTTTCTAAACTAAAACCAGGCTTTGTTGGGCTGCTGGATAAAACCTGGAACTAAACGCTATTTCTGACATTTTGGATTGAAAAATCTTCCTGGATGGAAGAGAAACGTCTTCAAACTTGGAAACAAAGTTGTTGCTGTTGGTGAAAAACAGCGACAGCGAGTTTAAGTGCTTCTGTTCATGAGCTCATTTTTAGCACTAATGTGACTTTCCTGTTTTTGATCAGCTTCCTTTCTCTGATGACTCAATAAAGGATTTTAACACGTTGCTCACTGCAGAGGACAGATGTTTATCTGAATGTTTTTATGTTCTATCTGAGTAAAGACACTGCAGAGGACAGAAGTCCATCAGGAAACACACTGCCAACTACTGGCAGGCCGCTGCAGGTGCAGCTAATGTTCTTAAATCCAAGATGGTGGACAGACAGAAAAAAGTTTTCAGCAGGTGGGGTTGGATACCTACCCATGGACGGCGTGGAGTGGGTGTGGCTCATAATGGTACCGCCCCTCATGGTGCCTCATATCGACTGGGATGGGCGTCTGGAAGGTGGGGAAGAAGTGGTGGGTACCTGTAAAAACCCAGAAATAAACTCGATTAGAGGAAACGGTCAGAGCTGAGATCAGGTTCTGATTAAAGCCGGCCCAGAAGGAGCCGCTTGCTGTTCCCGTAACTCCAGTTTTATACCGTCTGCGGCTTCGCCCCGACAACCCAAGGCTCGGTAATGACTCCCTCCTCCAACCAGACCAAAGCAGCCAAGTTTTTATGGCTCAAACAAAGCAGCGTTTCCTGCCATCAGCTCTGCAGAGGCTGCAGGGCAGACTGGTTAGATCTCCATTAGTCAGAGCATTGTTCCAGCAGGGAGCAAATAAAACCCACAATCCAGAGGAGGTCTGAGGCGCCCAGAGCCAGCGGCCCTCAGGGGTTAAAGGTCAGAGAACAGAAGATTCTACATCTCAGCAGCTCCTCTCACTGAGCGCCCCCCCCCCCCCTCTCTGAACGCCACGTTCAGCCGGCTCCTCATGAAACGATCAAACTTTGTTTCAAAGACTTCAAGGGGAGCTTCCAGTTTCTGACACCTTCCTGTCTGAGATGAGCCTAGGAGTCCTGATGGAGTCACAGCAGACGAGGTGGAACAGGGCTCCTGGCCTCCTGTCTGAGATGAGCCTAGGAGTCCTGATGGAGTCACAGCAGACGAGTTGGAACAGGACTCCTGGCCTCCTGTCTGAGATGAGCCTAGGAGTCCTGATGGAGTCACAGCAGACGAGGTGGAACAGGACTCCTGGCCTCCTGTTTGAGATGAGCCTAGGAGTCCTGATGGAGTCACAGCAGACGAGGTGGAACAGGACTCCTGGCCTCCTGTCTGAGATGAGCCTAGGAGTCCTGATGGAGTCACAGCAGACGAGGTGGAACAGGACTCCTGGCCTCCTGTTTGAGATGAGCCTAGGAGTCCTGATGGAGTCACAGCAGACGAGGTGGAACCGGACTCCTGGCCTCCTGTTTGAGATGAGCCTAGGAGTCCTGATGGAGTCACAGCAGATGAGGTGGAACCGGACTCCTGGCCTCCTGTTTGAGATGAGCCTAGGAGTCCTGATGGAGTCACAGCAGACGAGGTGGAACCAGACTCCTGGCCTCCTGTTTGAGATGAGCCTAGGAGTCCTGATGGAGTCACAGCAGACGAGGTGGAACCGGACTCCTGGCCTCCTGTCTGAGATGAGCCTAGGAGTCCTGATGGAGTCACAGCAGACGAGGTGGAACCGGACTCCTGGCCTCCTGTTTGAGATGAGCCTAGGAGTCCTGATGGAGTCACAGCAGACGAGGTGGAACAGGACTCCTGGCCTCCTGTCTGAGATGAGCCTAGGAGTCCTGATGGAGTCACAGCAGACGAGTTGGAACAGGACTCCTGGCCTCCTGTCTGAGATGAGCCTAGGAGTCCTGATGGAGTCACAGCAGACGAGGTGGAACAGGACTCCTGGCCTCCTGTTTGAGATGAGCCTAGGAGTCCTGATGGAGTCACAGCAGACGAGGTGGAACAGGACTCCTGGCCTCCTGTCTGAGATGAGCCTAGGAGTCCTGATGGAGTCACAGCAGACGAGGTGGAACAGGACTCCTGGCCTCCTGTTTGAGATGAGCCTAGGAGTCCTGATGGAGTCACAGCAGACGAGGTGGAACCGGACTCCTGGCCTCCTGTTTGAGATGAGCCTAGGAGTCCTGATGGAGTCACAGCAGATGAGGTGGAACCGGACTCCTGGCCTCCTGTTTGAGATGAGCCTAGGAGTCCTGATGGAGTCACAGCAGACGAGGTGGAACCAGACTCCTGGCCTCCTGTTTGAGATGAGCCTAGGAGTCCTGATGGAGTCACAGCAGACGAGGTGGAACCGGACTCCTGGCCTCCTGTCTGAGATGAGCCTAGGAGTCCTGATGGAGTCACAGCAGACGAGGTGGAACCGGACTCCTGGCCTCCTGTTTGAGATGAGCCTAGGAGTCCTGATGGAGTCACAGCAGACGAGGTGGAACAGGACTCCTGGCCTCCTGTCTGAGATGAGCCTAGGAGTCCTGATGGAGTCACAGCAGACGAGGTGGAACCGGACTCCTGGCCTCCTGTTTGAGATGAGCCTAGGAGTCCTGATGGAGTCACAGCAGACGAGGTGGAACAGGACTCCTGGCCTCCTGTCTGAGATGAGCCTAGGAGTCCTGATGGAGTCACAGCAGACGAGGTGGAACCGGACTCCTGGCCTCCTGTTTGAGATGAGCCTAGGAGTCCTGATGGAGTCACAGCAGACGAGGTGGAACAGGACTCCTGGCCTCCTGTCTGAGATGAGCCTAGGAGTCCTGATGGAGTCACAGCAGACGAGGTGGAACAGGACTCCTGGCCTCCTGTCTGAGATGAGCCTAGGAGTCCTGATGGAGTCACAGCAGACGAGGTGGAACAGGACTCCTGGCCTCCTGTTTGAGATGAGCCTAGGAGTCCTGATGGAGTCACAGCAGACGAGGTGGAACAGGACTCCTGGCCTCCTGTCTGAGATGAGCCTAGGAGTCCTGATGGAGTCACAGCAGACGAGGTGGAACAGGACTCCTGGCCTCCTGTCTGAGATGAGCCTAGGAGTCCTGATGGAGTCACAGCAGACGAGGTGGAACAGGACTCCTGGCCTCCTGTCTGAGATGAGCCTAGGAGTCCTGATGGAGTCACAGCAGACGAGGTGGAACAGGACTCCTGGCCTCCTGTCTGAGATGAGCCTAGGAGTCCTGATGGAGTCACAGCAGACGAGGTGGAACAGGACTCCTGGCCTCCTGTTTGAGATGAGCCTAGGAGTCCTGATGGAGTCACAGCAGACGAGGTGGAACCGGACTCCTGGCCTCCTGTTTGAGATGAGCCTAGGAGTCCTGATGGAGTCACAGCAGACGAGGTGGAACCGGACTCCTGGCCTCCTGTTTGAGATGAGCCTAGGAGTCCTGATGGAGTCACAGCAGACGAGGTGGAACAGGACTCCTGGCCTCCTGTCTGAGATGAGCCTAGGAGTCCTGATGGAGTCACAGCAGACGAGGTGGAACAGGACTCCTGGCCTCCTGTCTGAGATGAGCCTAGGAGTCCTGATGGAGTCACAGCAGACGAGGTGGAACAGGACTCCTGGCCTCCTGTTTGAGATGAGCCTAGGAGTCCTGATGGAGTCACAGCAGACGAGGTGGAACCGGACTCCTGGCCTCCTGTTTGAGATGAGCCTAGGAGTCCTGATGGAGTCACAGCAGACGAGGTGGAACAGGACTCCTGGCCTCCTGTCTGAGATGAGCCTAGGAGTCCTGATGGAGTCACAGCAGACGAGGTGGAACAGGACTCCTGGCCTCCTGTCTGAGATGAGCCTAGGAGTCCTGATGGAGTCACAGCAGACGAGGTGGAACCGGACTCCTGGCCTCCTGTTTGAGATGAGCCTAGGAGTCCTGATGGAGTCACAGCAGACGAGGTGGAACAGGACTCCTGGCCTCCTGTCTGAGATGAGCCTAGGAGTCCTGATGGAGTCACAGCAGACGAGGTGGAACAGGACTCCTGGCCTCCTGTTTGAGATGAGCCTAGGAGTCCTGATGGAGTCACAGCAGACGAGGTGGAACAGGACTCCTGGCCTCCTGTCTGAGATGAGCCTAGGAGTCCTGATGGAGTCACAGCAGACGAGGTGGAACAGGACTCCTGGCCTCCTGTCTGAGATGAGCCTAGGAGTCCTGATGGAGTCACAGCAGACGAGGTGGAACAGGACTCCTGGCCTCCTGTCTGAGATGAGCCTAGGAGTCCTGATGGAGTCACAGCAGACGAGGTGGAACAGGACTCCTGGCCTCCTGTCTGAGATGAGCCTAGGAGTCCTGATGGAGTCACAGCAGACGAGGTGGAACAGGACTCCTGGCCTCCTGTTTGAGATGAGCCTAGGAGTCCTGATGGAGTCACAGCAGACGAGTTGGAACAGGACTCCTGGCCTCCTGTCTGAGATGAGCCTAGGAGTCCTGATGGAGTCACAGCAGACGAGGTGGAACAGGACTCCTGGCCTCCTGTTTGAGATGAGCCTAGGAGTCCTGATGGAGTCACAGCAGACGAGGTGGAACAGGACTCCTGGCCTCCTGTCTGAGATGAGCCTAGGAGTCCTGATGGAGTCACAGCAGACGAGGTGGAACAGGACTCCTGGCCTCCTGTTTGAGATGAGCCTAGGAGTCCTGATGGAGTCACAGCAGACGAGGTGGAACAGGACTCCTGGCCTCCTGTCTGAGATGAGCCTAGGAGTCCTGATGGAGTCACAGCAGACGAGGTGGAACAGGACTCCTGGCCTCCTGTCTGAGATGAGCCTAGGAGTCCTGATGGAGTCACAGCAGACGAGGTGGAACAGGACTCCTGGCCTCCTGTCTGAGATGAGCCTAGGAGTCCTGATGGAGTCACAGCAGACGAGGTGGAACAGGACTCCTGGCCTCCTGTCTGAGATGAGCCTAGGAGTCCTGATGGAGTCACAGCAGACGAGGTGGAACAGGACTCCTGGCCTCCTGTTTGAGATGAGCCTAGGAGTCCTGATGGAGTCACAGCAGACGAGGTGGAACCGGACTCCTGGCCTCCTGTTTGAGATGAGCCTAGGAGTCCTGATGGAGTCACAGCAGACGAGGTGGAACAGGACTCCTGGCCTCCTGTCTGAGATGAGCCTAGGAGTCCTGATGGAGTCACAGCAGACGAGGTGGAACAGGACTCCTGGCCTCCTGTCTGAGATGAGCCTAGGAGTCCTGATGGAGTCACAGCAGACGAGGTGGAACCGGACTCCTGGCCTCCTGTTTGAGATGAGCCTAGGAGTCCTGATGGAGTCACAGCAGACGAGGTGGAACAGGACTCCTGGCCTCCTGTCTGAGATGAGCCTAGGAGTCCTGATGGAGTCACAGCAGACGAGGTGGAACAGGACTCCTGGCCTCCTGTTTGAGATGAGCCTAGGAGTCCTGATGGAGTCACAGCAGACGAGGTGGAACAGGACTCCTGGCCTCCTGTCTGAGATGAGCCTAGGAGTCCTGATGGAGTCACAGCAGACGAGGTGGAACAGGACTCCTGGCCTCCTG